CTCTCACAAGGTCTGTAAATATCGCATGAGACCGAACAAAAGACGACATGCCACTCAAAAGCCAAGGAGAATATATTTGCCCCCTCTATATGCAGGGTTGTTCTTCCCACGTCATGAAAAAAATGCCTTGCCTGTTGTGACCCAATATTTTTCATTAATAATCTCGTTATGCGAAGTCTCTCTTGAGCAGCGAGGCTACACCGACAAAAAATACACGCCCGTATAATCAATATAAAACAGTTCTTGAAACGAAGTTACTATTTCGATCACATCATAGAGGCAGTATTCACTACATCTAATTAAAATACACCAATATTTAACGCCAAATTAAATACAGAAACGAGCAAGTGATAAACATCACAACACATGTAGACTTTAATAATGATGTGTCTTAGCTGACGTGGCAGTACATTACGTGGATACGACAATTTACATAATATGACATTTTCTAGTATTCAAAGTCCATTCATTGAATGAAGAATTGAATATATACACATGTGTGGAATAAAAGACCAGTCATGTCTTCCCTGACACGTTATGTCGATTCTTCAGTTAATCGGCGAATACCGAATACTTGTATCAGCAATGATTAGTTTATCGGAATACACCGTGGATATAATAATACACTAATAATTAACTTGTTCAACCTTATGCAAGAGTGTTTCCGCGTTGAAGTATATTTTTGCAAATAATCAAATGCATTGATTTGGTTCTAGTTCTCCAGATTGCCCTTTCCCGTGAGTGCTTCTCCTTTTTGTAAGTTAACGTAAAACCAGACGGAACTTGTCTACACATTACAATACAAATCGTTATCGTATCACAATGTAACATACACGTGACATGAATAGAATAAAGATGTAAATTTCGATGTATCGGCTTCGGTGACCGTACGTGAAGTCTTTCATATCTCTGTTGTATATGCGACTGCGCTTCACTAATAGGCTTCGATGAAACATATTGCGCTATTCTCCCATACCTTCAGCTCTTTGAAGACCAGGTAGCCAGGACATGCACATAAGCGATGTATTCACAGAATATCTTGTCATGCGTGAATTCAAGCTTGAATAGGTTTTGTTCCCTTGGAATATATGCATGGGTTCCCTTCTATCTATCAGTTCTTATAACTATATTTTTCTATCGTTATTTTAGCAAGTAAAAATGCAGGTATCCGCTGCATCATGTGACTACGATGGCAACATACGGGTTTTTAATGCACCGCGTCGTCTTTATTCGATCCAACAGAAGTTTTTTTTAACCTGCTACAGGGTCGGCAGTTAATTTTACGTATTATCTGTGACTTGTAAGTTAGCGAAGGTACAGTAACTGTAGACCTGAATAATGTCATGCATGGTAGTTTGACTTCAGTTAGACTTTGATGTTAAATGCCGGGTCCATGGACCTCTTTATTGGCCAAAATATCAAGCGACAACAACCTAGAAACTTTCTTACATTTAAATACTGGCCACGACGTCTTAGTTTATTATCATCACACATCACATATTCATTCATCACTCGGATACTCATCTAGTGAAGTCCAGGGGTGAATTATGGGGCACGTAACACGACCCACTTCAGTTTCAGATATCTGTTCAGGTGTTCGCGGCTATAAATTCTACCTCGTGGTATTTTGTCAAGCTTATACAACAATAATAATTAAATTTAAATGATACTAAACGGCTAGTGAATTCCTGGAACTCCAGTTTTCCTATTAATTTTAATCCAAAAGTTGCCTTTAACTGACACTACATTTTAAAATCAGTAAGAGAAAGTTATATGAACTTCCTGGTATGCACATGAAACATGGTGTTTACATCTTTGTAACAGTTTTATTATATTTAACTACAAGTTCATATCTGCCAAAAACATTTTGAATGTTGATATTTTTCTACAAAATCCTTGCTTTTACAGTTTTGACAAAATAAGACAATGGCTTTTCAAAATTCTGTATATGTACTACAGGCCCGGCATATCGAATGAGCTGGAAAATGTATACCAAATAGGCAGGGGAGAAGCGCGATATTGCTGCAAAGATGTGGGCATTGTAAAATTAAATACACCTCTCTTGTCATATAGGCGTGTAGAAAGCAGGTCCTAAAATTTAGGGCAAACGTCTAAGTATGAAACAGGAGAATCATCTTAAACTTAATGTCAAGACTAACTAGGTCATTTGCATAAAATCCCTAAACTTGTTTTGATGGAAAGTACATCATCAATATATCGGAATGTGAATTTAAAGGACTCGGTTTCTTCATACATTTTTGTAAAAACTCATCATCATACAAAGGAAGAAATAAACCAACCATCGAGGGATCGAAATCCATAAATGAATAATTATGTCATCTTCAGTGTGAAAAAGCTTCGAATCAGTTTCGTGGGTAAAATCATATCCAACTATTACGTATTTGGAGCACTAGAATTATTTTTATTATAATAAAAGCCTGATGTATAATTTGCTTAATGTTAATTGAAATCACATTTGAGAGTGATCCCGTTTAGTTGTTTGTTATTTTTCAATATCCATATCCAGTCTGTTGATGCATGCTCGAAGTCTGTAAATCCGACAGAAGAAAGAAGTAGTACAGTACTGTCACACACAGTTGGATTGTTAAGAACACTACCTACAAATTCTGCAAAGCTTGTTTATGTATTACATGATTTTTGTGAGTGTGCTGAACCATTTATCCACAAATATCAAAACAATTAATCAGAGTTATGTCATTTATTTACAACAATATGCAAATTAGGTACTTTTGGCTGTAATTCAAATTCATCAAACAAGCAGAAATGAGTTCAGAGGTCAATAATACAACAATAATATTTGTCTAGCAATATCCGCAATGTGGCGGTATCCTATTACTGGCTCAAGGTCTTTAAACCGTGCACGCGAATAGCCACCGCTTACCCGTGCATTGAGAATTGTACGCCAAATGCGCCCCAACTATTGTACACGAGATCACGAACATTAATGTTCAATCATCATTGACAATAATATAAATTACATCTTACTTTATCAGTGATTATAGAGTAACATTTTTAACCCGCTCATCACTGCACAGCCAAATTATATTATGTTGTATTTTACAGCGCACTATTACGTTAATGATTAACCTAACAAATTAAAATTGCATTATCATATTGGCCTCGGAGTGTGTTCGGTTCATTAGTGATTATAATCCTGAAATCGAATTGAGAACCAGCTTCTAAAATACTTTGCGCGTAATTAAAGCATGCAGGCTATGACAAAACGACATGCTTGCTTTAGGGATTTAATATTCCAGGATTTGAATCAATTGATTTTTATCACATTTCATGTTGATCACAATATTTAGTAGGAGGTGTTCTACATATAATATAAAGCAGAAATGCAAATTTGATGACACACATTTTAATAGGTACGAATAAGTATATTATTAATTAATAGAGATGTAGTTGGAAATATTCAAAAAATATAATGATGCTCATATTATTTGAGTTAAAGATACGTACCAATAAATAAATTGGTACATCCATTTATCGAATATTTTTTTCGAGATCATAACAATTATTTACATTCATCGTACACAGACACGCCTCAGCTTTGACATTGCCTCGTTAAATATCTGCAGTCATCGGTCAATAAAAAATAATACTTTTTTTTAAATAGATTTAACTATATTCTAATGACTAGCGACTACACAAAGTGTTGTCAATTTGAACCACTGTGTTTTTATCCAATGATGTCACACGAACGCCTTGTCAATAGATGGCGCAATATTTTAGGAAAGGTGTATTAAGAAAAGTTATGTTACGGAATGATGCGATTGTAAGATCAGTTTAAGAAGATCTGGTTCTGTAATAGATAAATGCTAGATAATTGAGATAATTGATGAAACATGTGGTTAATGTACGAAACCGTCACGTGTTAATATGTGCGATATAGTTTGTAAAACTACGCGTTAATATCACCGTAATCAAAGGAATGCAATTCAATATATGACTGACATTCAAATGAACAAAAAATCAATAAATAAAGATTAAAGTATCAAAACAAAAATTTAACAACTTACATTGAGATATATATATATACATTGGTGCGTAAACGTCAACATGTAACAAACAAGCATATAAGTGGTCGCGTCAAAAGCGGAAATGAATGTTGAAATGCACACAAATAACATACATCGATTGTTATATACATGTCAGATTTCATGAAACATTACAAGTTAATCACAGTTAATTAAATTCAGTTCATGAAAATCAATACGTCATCATGCTGCCTTTGAAGACATTCCACTTGAACTATACGCTGACTTGTATGTTTGCACGACAGGAAATAAGACAATCCAGACAACATTTACATGTCTATTTATATGCCTCAATTACGCTGATCGTTGTACTTCACTTAGACCGAGCGTCATCTCACGTCCCAATCTTAATGTCATTGTAAGGTGATATTGACAATTTCGTTTGTCAGAAACAGGACGTGAATGTGCATAGACAATTGTTATTATACGCTATTAGGTCAATGCATATATAATAATATAATACATTAATAGTAGCACAACCTATAACGTATAGTTTGATTTATAATACAACTTATAGTGTTATTCACAATGTGTATTCATAAAACTAAAGAGAAGCATTCATTATATTCATATAGATATTATATAGCGGGAGTACAAAGCGATGTCTCGGGTAGTCACTAATAGTTTCCCACATGACACTGTGTTAAAGATGCAATATACACAATGAAATGTATTTTATTACGTACATGCAGTGATTGTATTTTGTGCGTAGATAATGAGTGCTCATGTGATTTTAAGGGATGTCATTGATTAATCGAGCGAATGCTTAATTTATAAATTGACATTTTTAGTTCACGATAAATCATAGTAAAATGCATATTGAGTCACTGTGCAATGTCAAAAAACTGTTTTCATGATAGCATTCATCCACAGTTAGCATAATTCTAGTGTCGAGTTTCAATTCCAGGATTCAAATGTCTTGACTACACGACCTTGCTATTCTTCGTCGTGTTTCTTGGCATGCACATCATTAATACTTTCTTTACTCATTCTCATTGAGATATTTTCAATTCCATTTTTCGACATATCGATGCGATCATTTTTCTCACAACAAAATAAGGTAGCGACGCCCTTTCTAAATGGTTCGTACTGGAGTGTGTAGATAACTGGATTGACGCACATATTAGTAAATGCTAACAATATCGCTATATCATGAAATACGCTATGTAGCGGCAACACGTGTAGAACACTATATAGAAAATATTCCCAGGCCTGTGGGGTCCAACAAATGAGGTAGGCCAAGGCTACGATAAAAAGAGTTTTAGTGGCGTTACGGCGCGCGCGTTCAACCAATGGTACAGTTTTATCTTTATTCCCATCTCGCCGTTGTTTCCTGCTCCCTTCTTGGAGACGCTGATTACTTGAACGTCTCCATAGAGTTACAAGTATCGAGGAATACGTAAAAGCCATCGCCGAGACGGGGATAACCCACTCCATGCAGAAGAAAAACACCCCCGACGCCATCTGTGCAACGTCATCGTACCATTTTATTGAGCAGTAGCCCATATTGGAGTTGGAAACGGCGAACGCCCAAAGAAGTTCCAATGAAAACGGAATTAACCAGACAAATGCGCTAATAATTCTGGCTTTTCGCAAGGTGTAAGAAAATCTGTGTTTCATCGGATAAACGACCGCGGAATAGCGCTCGAGCGTCATCGCTGTTAGGTTCATAGATGACGTCATTATAAGCGACCACGTCAGATATCCAGAGAGCCACACTTTACATAATATTTCACCCAAGATACCAGGCGGAACCCAAATATTAGTAGGACCACATTTCTTAGCAAGAAATATGATTGATACAAATAAATCAATGATTGATTGTTGAAAAATAAAATAATTTGTGAGAGATCGTAAACTTTTAACTCTCATAAAGACGACGCAAACTAACGCATTGCCAAAAAGGCCTACCGTGCCGATAGCAGCATTCATGATGAATGCTTGTTCTCGCGTCAGCAGTTTATCACTCTGCAGCACCGATGGCGCTTCAGTGGCATTTGTTATGACGCTTTCACTTGAGTTGAATGGGAACGCCAGTTGAGTTGTTGAATGATGTGGCATTTTCCATTGCCCACGACGTCACTACTTCGGTTAGAGGTGCGTCCGTGGTGTAATTAGTGTTATGCATCATATGGGACGCGTTATAAGCAGTTGTTTCTGATTCACTGGTATTCATCATGAACTGTAACTCTTCTCAACAAAATGATAGTTAATGGAAATCTGTTCATATGATGGCAGTTATCACATCAACGCCAGAGTACATACCGCAGAATATATAATTAATGTTCATATCCAAAGAAGACGAATACGGCATATAACGTACGGAGCACTTTAATAATATGTTTCAAACGTAGCCATAGCAACCTATTATCATTGCCAAACCACCAGTCTTTAGAAGAAATTATCTGCAGGCAGAATTAAAAAAAAATATGGTCACTAGCAGCAATTAACTACAATCACAATTAAAAAAACCCACAAAGATCACTAGTAACTAGTAACAGTTATTTGTGCGAACAATTGAGAAAACATATGGTTAATCAGTCGTAGTAGCAATTCTTTGCAGGCACAATTAGAAAACATATGGTTCGTAAGACACTAGCAGCAGCAATAGAATAGTAATCTATTCATAACAGCATGTTAAGAAACGCTGTTTCATTCAGTTACAATGCTTCTGGGAATATAACATGACCCTTTCATTCGTCTGTATCTCAACTATTCACCAATGTTACCTTTCAAATGTGCAAATTAGTATTTGATATAGTGTGTTCCATATATCAATGTTTTCGACAACTTGAAAGATATAATCAGCTCTATCATCATTTACTATTGTAGTTCTCTGCGCCGAGCTTCCTCAATTTGGAGATTTACTCATATCTCTTGGAGTTAATCATCCTTACAATGATCTGCTCCACTTACAAAAGCCTGTCGAGCGCAGTAAAAATGAGAAATTATAAAATTCTCTATATTAATCCATAAATGATCATGTGATCATTCTACACATGTCAATTAACGTAATGTACATAGATCTCGAAGGACCTAAGCTTGGTTGTTCGATAAGCAGTGATGAGATTACTCAAACCCGATTATGAACAATAAGATGTCAAGGCTTAGGCATCGATTTCATCTACCCAGAACACAAAAAAAAAAAAAAAACATATCTGTGCATACGTACACACGTGTACCTTGAAATGGTGGCAATTATATACCTGGTATACCGCTTAGTCGATGTGCAATACCACTTATTAGATTTCCCTACCCGAATCAAATTGATCAGTTCATCAAACACGACATTGTAATGTCCGATGCACGACAGCATGGGGTCAGAATTCGATACAGAATCTCTAGATAATTGAATTTAAATTGACCCCAATCGTGTTTCAGCCAAGATTATGTCAATTTGCGAAAAAATGATCCTACGACAGACCCGATGTTTAATCTTTGATCGACATACCCCTATGCATTTTATGCATCTCCACGCATTGCTACTGATGTGAGGAATGTGTTCTTTTATAATATCTCCCAGATGTGACACTTTGTCAAGACACAAAACACTCGTATTCACGTTCTCATGGAATTCCCCCTATAAATGGTTCAAGCTCTTTTTTTCGTGGAAATACCATAATAAAATGAGCCCGGTATATCGACCGTCAGTGTATAATGTCAACATCAAGTTTGTACGGTAAACCAATAATCGATACTTATCTACAAATAAAATAATTAAATATTCCGCACCTGTGCCGTGAGCTGAGAGTATTGCCGTTAACACGTCACATGTTTGGCTATTGCGCCCAACTCTAAATGTGTAAAACATCAGCTGTTTCATTGCCTATGGATCAAGACCCGCTGTATCATTGCCTATGGGACCATGACCCGCTATTATTAAGGTAACTTGTTCAGAGTATTGTATTGAGAAACGAACGATGAAAAGGTCTGTGCCCAATATTTTGCTTTCAAGAAGATAAATGTTTGTTTGTTTTGAAAATAAATATAATTTGTCTCATGCAAGTAGTTCTTGTTTTGTACTATAACCCAACTGTAATGGCGATTGACTGTTATACGCAGACCAGACTAAGAATATCACCGTCGATACATAATGAAAATATTGTAATAGCCTTATCTACTCATATGGAGCTTCAATATTCAGACCAACACTGCACTGATATTAGTTATTTCACAACAGTAACTGTAAATAAATAAATGTAAGTTCCAAGTTCCGATCAGCTCTAAACATATGAGTATATATTAAATTCCAGTGAATATCTACTAGGACTTTACAATCGACTGTCCAAATATACTAGGATAATAAGATTTATATGAACTTATTACCTTAGTGGAAATAACATATGGATAACTATGTACTTATATCAGTGTACACAATCACTAGGACTCGTACTCGTCTTCGCACTATTGTGGAGCAGATGCCCAATAGAGGATATCACTGTCATGAGTAATATCTGTGCAGCAAGTGGGTGATTGACAGGTACGAAATGTACAGTGTACGCGTTGCCTTCCGCAATATGTGATACTATGTGATCGTATACCACCCCTTGCCTCAATTAGACAGTTTGCAGTGAACATTTTTTATTTGCATTTACTGTGTGGCCTCGGTCTAGTGAAAATCCGAGGTCCAACTCTAAAAAAACAGTGTTTACAGTGAAGGATAATTGGAATCTACCAGGTGTGCTGTTATTTGAATAACAAATGATGTTTATGATCTGTGTTACCTACGCGACACAGCTGATTGGCTTATGTGGAAACCCAGATGGTGTGCCTGAATTTAGGCCATTTATGCCTATAAAATTCCTGGGATCAATCATTCTACTGTGTACCCTGCGTGTAGCTACTGCGATATTGTGAGACAAGTGATACAGGCTTAAATAATCATTCTGTGAGACTTGTATGAACTGTTCTGCGATCTCTTGCTTTCAGCGGTGCCCTCCACAATAACAGCGTTCCTCAGCAAGCAAGACTCCTGTATTTCTTTGCTGTGGTGTTGCAGAAGTCATTGACTGTCATCCATTTCTACATCCTGGAACTGTGAGTTATCACCGTGCACACTTTCCTAGGCAATCCCATATTTTAGTGACTTTATTCATTGTATTTGTCTGTGCTTTATTTCTTGTAATTATTTTTGAAGGTATTAAAGCTAGGAGCTTTAATTCGATATCTTGGTGTATGTGTATTTCATTTCCAGTACTATTGTCATGTCTACCCCATTCTAGCAGTGGAAGGACCCCCTATCCAGTGTGAGTTCTATGGATGATCCTCCCAATTCCAATAAGCAGGCCTTACACTGTGACATTAATGAAAACTCCTTAATTCGTCGCCATCTTGACCTTTGATTGAGATAAAAAAGTTAGGTTTTTTATTTTATTATCCATTTGTTCTTGGTTATTGCCCTTGTCGGGAATGTGCTGGGTATAATTTCTCTTTACAAATGTGCATCTGAGTGATATTTAATATAGGTTAAGAACTACGTTAAAACTGAATCAAATAATTTTAACAGTCGATCACGATGTGTTATGAAGTAACCTTTGCCAAACTGTCTCAATGAAGCATCTTGATTCAGAAAGCCTTTACAGTGGCTGCGTGACTGATTTCTATTTGTCTTGTTTTTTCTTGCAACGTCATGATAAAAGAAATATGTGAAGTAATTTGTGTAAATGTACGCCACAGTGTTTGTATGACAGGTGTAAACCTTAGCGCTAATTGAAGTTTCATTCTTGTTAATACTTTATTTCATATTTCTTAGTATATCTCGGGGGAATGGCTTACGTTCGTTGTGCCTAAACAATCTTTTGTATACTGTAATTATTCTGCAATTTATAAAAGTCAAAGAAACCATTTCCACTTTATTGAGTTACCCTTTTTATTGAATACACATTATACTGTTAGAGGGAAGGACAGGCATATCTGGGGCGAGCGACTCAATGCTCAAAGTTCAAGTTCGGAAAAAATGCCGTTTTAATGCCCGTGAACGTTTTTTTTTATATTGTACCCATATAGTCTTCCTACAAGGCTGCGCCAGGTTGAATAATTACCACACTAGGAAGCCAATTACCAATATACCCCGCAATTGCAGTTATTAATTGTTTATTATCGTCACTGTGGCATAATTCAAGTACACCTACCGTCGTGATGTAACACAAAATCTCTTATAGTCGTCGTGTTACAGCTAAACAAATACACATCTCGTGATGTGTACGAAACAAATACACTTGTCGTTGTATAGGAAAATACAAATAAACTTATTATCGGTGTGGTACGTTCATCGTTGTCGTGGTACAAATCAACAAATACAATTCTCGTCGTCGTGACATAAAACAAATAAACTTTATTAATCGTAGTATAACAGAAACACTTTTAAAGTCGTCGTGGTATGAAATAAATCCACTTATCATCATCGTTGTATAGATAATCCATATATTGTCGTGGTGGTATAAAAATCTAATTATCGTGATCGTGGAATAAAAATCCACTTGTCATCGTGGTAAAAAAGTCCACTCATCGTCGTCGTGGTATAAAAGTCTAATTATCGTCGTCGTGGTATAAAAGTCCACTTCTCGTCGTCGTGGTATAAAAGTCCGATTATCGTCGTCGTGGTATAAAAGTCTAATTATCGTCGTGGTGGTATAAAAGTCCACTTATCGTCGTCTTGGTATGAAAGTCCAATTATCGTCGTCGTTGTAAAAAAGTCCACTAATCGTCGTTGTGGTATAAAAGTCCACTTATCGTCGTCGTTGTGATATAAAAGTCCAATTATCGTCTTCGTGGTATAAAAGTCCACTTATCGTCGTTGTGGTATAAAAGTCCAATTATCGTCGTCGTAGTATAAAAGTCCAATTATCGTCGTCGTGGTATAAAAGTCCAATTATCGTCGTCGTGGTACGAAATACGCCCATCGTCAAGAAACAAGTAAACGTGCCTGTCGTCGCCATGGGCACGAAACAAATAAAAAAACTTATCATCGTCGGGGTACGAAATAAATACTTTTATTGTGGTTGTAGTACGAAACAGATACATGTATTGTTTTATTGCCTTCGTGCCATGAGACAAATAAA